ATCCGATTACCTGTAACCAATGGAGAGAAGCTCTAAATTTGATCTATAAATATATCCATTGCCTCAATCTGGTGGAATGCCATTTTAAAATCATAAATAGATGGTATATGGTCCCCAGTAAAATTGAGAAGTTTAATAGTTCAGGTGACTCCATTTGCTGGAGATGCAACGTGGAGTGCGGGAACTATCTACATATATGGTGGGACTGTAGGTATATACAGAAGTTTTGGAAAATGATCTTATCAAGGATAAAACTTATTACTCTGATTGATTTACCGATGGTACCACAGATATGCCTTTTACAATTAGATATTCGCCAGGTTAGTAGCAACTCACTGCCGGTTATCTTGCATATACTTTTAGCCGCGAAACTTTCTATCGCAAGGTACTGGAAAATGGAGTTGGTGCCCTCCTGGCCAGTAGTTAAGGAACAAATTAAATATCAACTGAAAATGGAAGCTGGGTTAAATATAAAATACCAGGAACGTTATAACTCCTGGTTGGTGAAGCTAGAGGCTGCTGCTGACTTATAGATAGTTGTCCTGAATCTCTCTGGGCCTAAGTTGAGATTGACACTATATTAAGTGTGACCACATATGACCATTTGATGTTTTGTCTTGTTATGTCCTTTTTGTATGTGAGTTGCTTACAGTGAGATTTTTAAACAACATAGGGGTTTTACTAAATGTAATTATACTACTTCATGCCTATGTGGGTAAAAGTAATGTTTACCGATATGTGTGTCTTACTGTATATGTTATATATGGGATGTATTGTTAATTGTATTTTCTTTTCTTGTCAAACTCTATTGTGTTAAAAAAAAAAAAAGTAAAAAAGTGGAGTTGATATCTCCGAATAAAGATTATATATTGAAAAAAAAAAATTAAACTTAATTTATATAACTCACGTACTTTTAATTAACACATACTTGTCTTATCATTTATTGACACAGATGTATTTACTCACTGTCTGGCTCTTTTAGCGGACAGGGTCATACTTTGAGAAAAACATCTTGTTTTTTCATTTTAGCACCTCATGGCATATTAGCTAAATTGCGTTTTTGCTATTATGCATGTGATATTTTTATCACATACTTTATACTGTGATAAAGTGAAGGCAGATAGGCCTTTTAACCCCAGGGGGAGTATGTGTAGTTTGTGTGTTGCACAACACAAAGCATTGTTTAGTTATGGGCCCCTGGGGTGGAGCATTTGGAGAGAAGGGTGGGCCAATGCTCCACTCCACAGTTTAGTGGTTTTCTAGGGAGACATAGATCCAGGCCAGGGGTTTTTGGACAATCTCCAACCCACTGCTCAGCTGCAGTTAATGAGCTGTTGCAGTGGGAATAAACCCCTCCCGACTAGGCAGGAAAAGGAGAGGGATTGCTGGCTTCCTCCCAGGAAGCAGGTAGGAGAGAGGCTGTTCTCTCCAGATACAGAGTCAAGGAGACTAGGCACTGGGAGTGCAGAAAGGAAGCAGTCAAGGCTGGCTTGGAGCATTGGGAGTGCAGAAAGGAAGCAGTCAAGGCTGGCTTGGAGCACTGGGAGTGCAGAAAGGAAAGCAGTCAGGGCAAGGCTAAATACTGGAGTGCTGAGAGGTTGGTGAAACCACTATTGTTTTGTTTAGTTTAACCCTGAGAGATAGGGAACCTAATGTCAGTTAGTGCTCAGACAAGCTAGGTTTTTGTTTATAAGGTTTTGTGTTACATTTATGTTTTCATTTACTGCTGTATCCTGTGTGGATTTACAAATAAAGTGCCTGGAGTATATGCAATTACAAGGACTGTGCCTATTGTTTACCCTAGAGGACCGTGCTACCTGCTGACAAGGATCACAATACGTATTTCCTTCCTACACAATATCTCTGACAACACATAGCTTGAGTTTGCAGGTTCTGTGCTGAAGGCAGCATAAGAAGGGTTTGTGGCTACATGTGCTTCCCTCTATCCTTTCCCATTCTCCACATCACTGTTCTGATGAGCATGGAGGGACGCTGCCTCAGTGTCCGCCAGTGTACTTTCTTGCTCTTGGTGCGCAAGTGTGGCCTTTGGGTAAAGAGGCTGTTTGAGTGCCGTGTGGAAGGAACCTCCTCAGCTTCAGGCAGGGTCAGCTTACTTTCCAGCTTGCTCCAGAACGCATCAAAGAGCACATCTAATTGTTGGAGAATAGTGCTTGCCTCTCCCCCTTGCGCTGGGATACTCGTGGCGTCTGCCATCTTTAGTGTGCCTCTGACAGCTTTACAGGGGTTTGCAGCACTCTTCATACAAGCTTGGGAGCCATCAGGATGGGGACCGGGATAACCCCCACCGGTCCAAAAGGGGGGGGTAGCGGGGCGTCAGGATCATGCTCGAAGCCCTGCCTGCGTCGGTACGGGAGAGCGGCTGCCTCAACCCACCTCAGCGCCTGCTAGACCTCACTGGATGTCAGCATCTCGGGAGATATAAAAGACCGCGGGATACGCTCCCAAGGGTGTCAGTCTGTTCATAGATCAAATAATATATTGTACTCTGTAGAAATTCGAGGGGACAGTTTTAAATTAGATTTTTGTTCAGTGTTTCATGAGGAGCTCACAGGATACACATCCAGCCACTATGGATGGCTCAGACTCCGTCCCCCCACTCTTTTGTATTTTAGGTATTTTTATTTCTTTTCAGTTCATAGTAAAAACTGCACGTGTGTATTTTGTCACATATTATCCTAGTGTGCTCTCACCATAATTTACCTATTTTTATGCACTGTGGTTTTTTGTGGTTGGGTGACCTCCATAAGGTGATAGTAATTTCAACCTTTTAATCCTTATAATTATTTCTGGTGCTTCTCTGTACCCTTTCCTGACCTACACCTAGTTATGGCCAGATAGAATAGACTCTGGTTTGGGAAGTACCGGCTGTTGTAGCCGGATCTAACAAGCGCTAGGAACCTCACCATCACACTTATAGTTTACTGTACTTGTGGCAGCTTGAAGGGTATGTAGTCATTGTGTTTTGTAAGTTTATATAGCAAAGAGATGTCTACGATTTCCATATGGCACTACATAACAAAGAAATCAACAACATTATCAGATGTTATCACCCATAAGTAGGATAGTGTATTACTGGGAGTATTAAGGAATAAAACCCAAGGTGCCCATATTGTCAAGTAATGTTCATAATGTTGGCTAATGGAGAATTTAATCTCCTCCATAGCTGTGATACTTTCCAATTTGTCTATCATTTGTATAAATGGTCTGTTACACTTTTGTATTTTAGGTATTTTTACAGTATCCCAGTGTGCTCTCACCATAATTTACTATTTTTATACAGGGAAGCAGTGCCTTTTGGGTATCCTCAAACTCGTATGATAGTGAGTCAGCAAGGAAAATATGAAGGCAGAAAACAGAATATAGTGTAATGTACTCTTAAAGTGGTGAGATGCAACTTACAATTTTCTGAAGCTTATGTTTAGCTCCAGATATATATGCGCCTGGACAGTATGATCCCCTCCTGTGGATATGTCGCTCAGCTTGGTTCCTTGTGACCTGTCCTGTTTAAATGGCCTCAACAATTAAGAATGAGAGGGTCAGGTGGTGTCACAAGTCATGTGACTTACAGGTAGTCAGCTATAAACAATTTTAAAATGCAAGGGAATATAAAGCAGTGAAGGAGATTATGACATTGCAAGTGTGCAGTAAGAAAATTAATACATTTTAAAGTAAAATATTTTTAAAGAATAAGAAAAATAAAAGACTATTTGGAGGGAAAAAGGGAGTAGTGTGTTTATAAAAGTACACCAATATGGCCACCAAAATAGAACAATAGGGTACACCAATGTGGCTGCCGCCAATCAAAAGACAATGGTTGGTATGGCTGGTATATTAAAAACTTGAGCTTATTGGTGAAGTGTGGGGAAGTGGACTTATATGAAAAATACTCAAAACTAGCATTTTTGTGGCTGCATGAGCACACCAAAAGGTGTTGTACCAAGATGACTGGTGATCACATAACATTGACTGTGTCATCATGGAGATAGAGTGTGGCTACACTCCTAGTTTAAAGGAGTTAATAAAACTACTATAGCGTTGACGGGGGGGGGAGGGGAACTTAGCAAGAGCAAACTGCTGGGGTAAGGGGGGTATGGGAAATGTGGTAATTAATATAAAAGATTTTAAAAAACAGAAAACAGGGAAGATTTAAAAAAAAAAAAAGTAAAAGCAATAAAGGTGTAATGTGGAAAAGGAGTATAGCAAAATAAAAATAGCAAAACCAACATTATCCCTAAGGGAGATAAAATAGAAAGAAAAACATGTAAAAAGTATAAAAAGATGTAAGCAAAGAGGAAAAAAATGTATTGGTTAATAAAGGGGAAGATGGCATAAAAAATAAGAGCATAAAAAACACAGTACAAAGGCAGACATTAAAAAGACAATGAGTGTAAAGGCTTGCAGATTATAAAAAGTTAAATAGATCAAAATCAGCATTTAACCTATAAAGTGCCAAACTAATTTATACAGGGAGTGCAGAATTATTAGGCAAGTTGTATTTTTGAGGATTAATTTTATTATTGAACAACAACCATGTTCTCAATGAACCCAAAAAACTCATTAATATCAAAGCTGAAGGGGGGCGGGGCCTGACTTTCAACATGGCCGGACGTGCTCTCTAAGGGCTCCTGCCATCAACTGCTCTAAAACAGCTTCCACAGCAGTTACCCTACCACAAGCAGCACACAATCGAGAGCAGACTGCAGCACTAATGAAGCAGACACAAGGGGTCCTGAAATAGCCCCTTTGAACGCCCGCAGAAACCGGAGCCCAGCAGTGCGGCCTAGTCAGCAGGGAGACACGCGGGGAAACTGCGGGAGGGACGGCCGCTCTCCCGTGGTAATACCTAGCGACGACCTCGGCATGGGTTTCCGTTCCCCCCCTTTGGACCGGCGGGGGTTATCCCGGTCCCAGGGCACAAGCCACAACAAGCCCTGATCGCGCCACGCTGCTTGGAAGGCAGGGCCAGCAGGCCACACAAGATGGCACCCGAATCCATGTGGCTGAAGCCTGTGCCCATACAACTTGCCACTAACCCGGTGGATTCCTGCATCGAGAGACTGGACCGCATTTTCCAGAAGTTCTGGGAGCGTTTGGAGCAACGCAGCAGACAGATGCAGTCTGGTCCTGTGAAAGTGGTGAAGGGGGTTGCGGAACGGGGTAAGATGAAGCCCCCACCCTCTGGACCCCACCGAACCGCTGACACAGTTCGCCCCAAATGTCCACCCTGGCAGAAGGCCACTAGAAAGAAGTCTCCACGACACCAACCACACCGCCGGAACTCCAACTGTCGCCGGCGATGGCGGATCAACCACAGCGCCCGCAAGAGGGAAGACACAGCCTCAGCCATGAGGTACCAAGTCTGTGGACCGCAAGTGTGGGCCTCTACACCAGCCAGGGGCTGGAGAACTCCTTCTACCTACCTGCAACTTATCATCTCCCTGCGGTCTCTACCGGTCCAAGTTGCCATCATCCCCAGCAGAGGTATCGGCTGATCTAGCTCCCTTCACGGGACTTCCCTCCAACTCCGTCCCCAGCAGAGGGCTCTTGAGGGCCTAGCCTGGACTGCCCGCATGGACTCTCTCTATTGGGCTCCCACTGTGCGGATGCACTCACCACGAGGCCTTATGGAATAAGTCTCCTCTGCATAACTCTGAAGGGTTGGTGGGCAAAGTAACATGTTTAGCTGTGACCTAGCCTGAATACTTGTTATGCACTAATACTAAGTTTCGCATACTGTGATTGGTAGGGATAGTATGGTGTACTGTACATGTCTTACCCAGCAACATTGACAACCAGGCAAGTTCATTTTATGCTATTTAGTATTCTCTATTATTTCACTACGCCGGCATAATAGCCACTCAACTTTTAGTGAACATGACTGGTTCCAGCCTTAACATAGAGTATCCTGTTGAGCCTACAACAAGCCACATGCACTACCTTACATGAAGGACAGGCTATCTACGTGCTCTTTCACCAATCACTAGGTACAATCGCCACACACCACGACATGTCATGTACATATGGCGCATCATACTTGTCCTGCCTACGCAGACAAGCCCCAGTTGTCTTATCAGACGGGTTCACATTGGTTACAACCACTATGTCTAACATACCTATCGTCTTTACCTGCTTAGCTTTCGCTGTGGACATATTTCCTGTCCTGAGTACATTGATTAACAACTCTATTGAATATGCTGCTAGATAGACCTTTTCCTAGATTGACAGGCTAGTCAATAGGACCTAATTGATCTGCGAATCGTTGCTCTACAAATAGATGTGTGCTACGTTGCCAGCTTGTCTTAGCAATTTTAATTGTACTCTTATTACGTCTTATTCACACTACTATGCGCCTGTTAGCAACCATGACGCAACAGTCCAGCATGTCTAGCTTCTAAACTCTATTTAACCAATGGTCTAGTTTTGCATATTTCTAAGCCTGTTTAACCCTATGATCCATAGCTTGTATTTTCAACTTATAGTTTAGCGACAAAAATTTAAAAAATGAGGCATCGCTATCCTGGAAATGTAACTTAATATTGCTGAATACAATATAAATAATTAAAAAGAGAGCGCATGTATTACAAAGTAGAAAACCTATGTAATAGTCTATATATATTTAAAATAAAACTATAAAAAATAGTACCCAATGTACTCAAACAGTAATAGCTGCTAAAACAAAAAGAATATTCCCAATTCCAAAAAACAAATGTAAATAAAAATTTCAGCGCTGAGTAGATAATCCCCTTAGAAATAAAAAAGGTGCATACATATGCAAAAAAAGAAAAAATCAGGCAGAGAAAAGTGTCCAAAATATATAGTTCTGTAACAAAGTCCTATAGTGAGAAAGTCCAGATAACGTTGTGATATGTAGAAACTCAAAAGCATGTAGGAATACCTTGAGAAAAAAGAAACAAAAAAAGATACATAGCGTGATACTGTATCAAAATTTATTGCCCAGAATACAAATGGAAAAAAATCCCCCCCAACTTCAAAACTCTTACATTAGATAAAATTTGGTACTCATCATAGTAGAAGTAGCTGATAAAGTCCTTTCAGAGCCGCTCGTGTTTTTCCCCCGGGGCAGCTCCTCTCCGGTGCACTCTGGAGGGCTGCCTGTGATATCTTCTATGGAGGAACGCTAACTGAAAGTCCGGCTTCTGTAGATAACTAAAAGTGTCTGCCGCAGATAAATCTTGCAGATAGACAGTAGTGGCACCCTATCAACGCGTTTCGCCCTGCTAACGAGGGCTTTTTCAAGATAGGTGCTCGGAGCATTATTCGGCAGTTTTATACTTGCCGGGTAAAACAAATTCAAATCTCTTAAGGGTATATACCCCTCTTAAAACACATGTAAAAAGAAAAACATATTAAAAAAGCTGCAATTTGTATAAACAAGGACAAAATACTTCCCAACAATAGATATAAAATACTGCACATGAAACACAATTATAAACTACTAAAAAAATAATAATAAATTTATACACAGATCCAAAACATAAAACAGTCACTATAACAGTGATTGCTATATACATGTTTATACATCTCACTCCTGAATATCAATTTCCTAACTCTTATAATATCATGGGTATTACTTGATCATGATGTGTAAATAATAATAATTACATTCTTCACAGATGACCACAGAATATATAAATTTATCAGTAATTTTCATCAAGTTAGAAACCTAATAGCAGATAGTATCTCTAGAACTGTAAAAAGAAGAATGTACTAGCTGGTATAGACTTATGGCATAATAAGCTATGTCTAATACAGTAAAAACAAGATAAGGCATCTCATAATAGTATATGTTTCTATATTATAGGAACTCCTAACATATCAATCAAAAATTATATAATTCTCTATAAAATATATATATATATAAAATTCTTAGTAATATCAGTACTTATAGCAATAGAACAATATAGATCTAGGATTCCCAACCATTTGGGCATATAAATTACTACCTTAATCTGGACACTAAAAAATAGGGCAATTAACTAAATATTGTATATATGATTTACAGCATGGGCCGATATTAATGCTGATCCCATGCTATAGTATATTAGCTAGTTCCAGCTCTGCATTAAGACCCGAGGGGGTCAGGGTCTTAAGTGTATAGATCCAAAACATCTCCCGGTATGTTAAGGATTTGCTCAACTCACCTCCTCTCCATGGTACTTCTACCCTTTCTATACCACAATATGAGAGAAGTGTAGGATCTCCATTATGGTGTGTTCTGAAGTGATTGGAGAAGGAATGTTTCTCAAAGCCCCTTTTAATGTTGTAAACGTGCTCTCTAAGTCTAATCTTAAGTGTTCTTTTAGTTTGACCCACGTATTGGAGGCCACAAGGGCACTCCAACTTGTAGATAACTTGTTTGGTATTACATGTGATACAACTCTTAATGTTAAACATTAGTGATGTACCGAACGGTTCGCCGGCGAACGGTTCCTGGCGAACATAGCATGTTCGCGTTCGCCACGGCGTGCGAACATATGCGCGGTTCGACCCGCCCCCTATTCGTCATCATTGAGTAAACTTTGACCCTGTACCTCACAGTCAGCAGACACATTCCAGCCAATTAGCAGCACAGCCTCCCTAGCAGACCCTCCCACCTACTGGACAGCATCCATTTTAGATTCATTCTCAAGCTGCATGCTTAGTAAGAGGAGGGAAAGTGTAGCTGCTGTTCATAAGATAGGGAAAAGCATAGCTAGGTTAGGGATAAGGGTATGCTTTTTTGGATTTTTTTTTTCTATCTAATGTAAATGCACTTAGTTGTCTGCCACTGCTGCCAGCTTCTGTGTCAGGCTCACAGTGCATACTGTGCCCATTTCCCCAGTCAGTGCCACCAATTACATCTGGTGTCACAATAGCTTGGATTTAAAAACAAAAAACTTTTTTCACTGTTATAGATTGAATAGCAGTCAGTTGTCTGCCACTGCTGCCAGCTTCTGTGTCAGGCTCACGGTGCATACTGTGCCCATTTCCCCAGTCAGTGCCACCACTTAGATCTGGTGACACAAAGCTTGTATTTAAAAACAAAAAACTTTTTTCACTGTTATAGATTGAATAGCAGTCAGTTGTCTGCCACTGCTGCCAGCTTCTGTGTCAGGCTCACAGTGCATACTGTGCCCGTTTCCCCAGTCAGTGCCACCAATTACATTTGGTGTCACAATAGCTTGGATTTAAAAACAAAAAACTTTTTTTACTGTTATAGATTGAATAGCAGTCAGTGTCCTTAAAGCGGGTGTGTTATGCTAACAGTGGATAAGCTGACCAGTGCCACTAATTAGATCTGGTGTCACAATAGTTTGGATTTAAAAAAAAAATAATCTTTTTTCACTGTTATAGATTGAATAGCAGTCAGTGTCCTTAAAGCGGGTGTGTTACGCTAACAGTGGATACGCTGACAAGTGCCACTAATTAGATCCTGTGTCACAATGGTTTGGATTTAAAAAAAATAATAATCTTTTTTCACTGTTATAGATTGAATAGCAGTCAGTGTCCTTAAAGCGGGTGTGTTACGCTAACAGTGGATACGCTGACAAGTGCCACTAATTAGATCCTGTGTCACAATAGCTTGGATTTAAAAACAAAAAACTTTTTTTACTGTTATAGATTGAATAGCAGTCAGTGTCCTTAAAGCGGGTGTGTTACGCTAACAGTGGAAGATCGCTGACAAAAGTGCCATAATTAGATCCCTATGTCACAATAGTTTTAGTTTAAAATAATAATCTTTTTCACTGTTATAGATTGAATAGCGGTCGTGTCCTTAGCGGTGTGTTACGCTAACGGTGGATAAGCTGACAGAGTGCCATAATTAGATCCTGTGTCACAATAGTTTGGATTTAAAATAATCTTTTTTTCACTGTTATAGATTGAATAGCGGTCAGTGTCCTTCATGGCGAGTGTTAAGCTAACAGTGGATACGCTGACAAGTGCCACTAATTAGATCTGGTGTCACAATAGTTTGGATTTAAAAATAATCTTTTTTCACTGTTATAGATTGAATAGCAGTCAGTGTCCTTAAAGCGGGTGTGTTACGCTAACAGTGGATACGCTGACCAGTGCCACTAATTAGATCTGGTGTCACAATATTTTGGATTTAAAAAATAAATAATCTTTTTTCACTGTTATAGATTGAATAGCAGTCA